AAAAACAAGTGTCTAGCCACTGAATGAACTTAGCAGACACCAAGTCCCTCACCCATGCATCCTGATACTCCTCACATATTCGAATTCCCCCAATCACAAACAACCATCTTCCCAATAACAAGCTCAGAAATTCATACTCCTTCAAACAACCAAGGGTTTGTGTGACCTCCACAACCACCATAAGTTGTAAGTGGTTAATTGGATTCGAGCCTCTGAGACCACATACTTGTCAAAAGTGCAAATCTACCAAGCTGCCATTACCAGTTTCCAAACCATCCTAGTGTAAAGGGGCCATCTTTTAAAAATGTGAAGCTTTCCTACATTTAAAGAACATGTGATCCACCGTCTCTACCTCCTCACCGCAATTCTTACATATCACATCAATCTCCCTACCCTTAACATTAGCATTCATAATTTTGCTCATATAGACTTAGATCTACACAATTTTGTTCACATATCAATCATGCTCCAAAATCATGAAATTTGAAACTCTAGCATCAGGATAATATTTAACTGTAGAAGCTAAGTGATTGTCTTAGCCATTGGGTGCATGGCATTAATTTTCTGAAAGATTATTATCCACATGAACTGAATAAGCTTAAGAAAAATAAACCACAACTAATCCACAATCCCATTCTTGTTAAATGCCTAAGAAACATGAATATAGTTACAATTCTACAAAACAATATTCTATAAGTAGTATATGAGAACCGTATTTATCAAGCAAAATGGCAACTCAAGTACCAATGTTATAACACATATACTTACATAAGACAAGAACATCTTCAATTTATCAATAACTAATCATGAAAAGTTGATTACATTGATTTAGATAAAGATGAAGTACCTATCACACACATAACTGCATGCCCTGGTCATGTCTAATTTGGTGTCTTATCAGAAGCAGACATAAGAATTCAGTTATCACATATGTTCAAGAACAATACTTTTCGCATGACAATGTTGTATGCTATTAAAAAACATAGGAGAAGAAAAACCTTACATACCTATGTGACTATGTCATGGGCACAATTTCCATCAAGTCAACCCCAGAAGTTGAGCATTTATTAAGGATGTATGGTGTCCCAGTCCCTATAGCTAATTCGTGAAGACGAATAATTCTTTTCAGTAGAAAGGGCAGTTTAATACTGATTGAATAAATAACCATCAATATAAGGGATTTTCTAAACCAACAAGATAAAATGAAAATAAAAAGAAAAGAGCAGATGGTTCTAAATTTGACTGAAGTGGATATTTTACATCGTTTATAGATAGGAAATATATGCGATTTCTCCTTTGGCATTTGCGTTCGCAGCATCAGGTGCTAGACCAAAACCCAAAGCATACATAGGAAAAGCTACACTCATCTGGAAAAAAATTATTTTACCTTTTACAATAAAATGAAAAAATCATACAAGATATGGCACAAAAATCTCAAAGAAAATAATATACAAGTTTGCCAAAAAAAAATAAAAAAAAGTAAATTGGATTTAATAATTAGTGCTTTCAGATTTCTCTCAGGGTGGGATACTTCTTTAAGAAAACAACACAAAGAATAGCGACACCTAATAAGATCACCGATCATTATCCCTTGAAAGAACTATAGAATAAAATGTTCATATTTACAAAAATCATTTTAAATTGAGTAGTTTATCTGAAAAAAAAAATAAAAATAAAAATAAAAAATAAAAAATAAACATTAGGACTAACTGCATATGATATAATGTTCTTCACGATATAACAGAGAATGTGATCGTAGACATCACGTAATATTTTTCTCAACTGTGATTGTTAATGTAACTGTAAATCATGTAATACATTTTCCTGTTGGAATGGAATTTAGAAAACATTGTGCATTTTATAACACTATAAACTCATACGTTGTCCAATTTCAAATGAATAATACAAACTGGAAACATCATAAAGCCCTTGATATACATCCAGCTAGCCTCCAATAACTCAACTAAATCCTAATCCTCAAAACGAATTCAGAATATTGTGACGTCCCAAAGATTTCTACCAGTGGTAAATCTACAAATATGTAGCCTCTTTCGTGCATCCAAGAAAGGAAATTGAATAAAACACAAAGCAATTTCAAAAAATGAGCTTCTAGTAACAGAGAAATTTCGAATAATTAGCTTCATTTATCGCATCAATTAATGAGAAGATATCTGGATTTAACAATTAAAATAACAAAAAAAGAAAGAAGATAATGACCAAAGTAAACACAATACAAACACATACCAAGGACATAAATGGGTCATTGGCGGTGGAGGCGGAGGATCTGAGGCAGTGGTGGTCAAGTGCGACCAGAAATTGCACATAGGGATAACAAAACGACAGAAAGAGGACGAAAACAGTCCTGTGATGCAATCATATGCAAGATTTTAGCAAAAACTTGATTTATTTATTACTATTCAAATGCAAGATTTTAGCAATTTTCATTGGCTCAACAACTACAAGTGTAAATGTAAGATCAATATAACCTCGAGAATCAATTTCCGAAAGTTTCATAATTAGGCGTGTTTCTGTAATTTGACCAAACCACAAGAGTAGTCTTTCACAACTGTCACTTGAATTCTTTAGTGTTAGGCACTTAGACCAGGGTATTCATACTTATCCATAATAACAATATGCATGGTTTTTTTACCAGCAAAGTTGAGGGAACTGTAGTTCCTCAGAAGGACCATCTCGCCATGAATGGCAACAAAGTCCTTACGTTTCTCCATCATCTCTCGGCTAAATTCAGCCTCCGAGGTAAACACCCCACATGTACCTACTCTGGCCTTTACTAGTTCAATTCTTTCCTTTAATGCCTGAGATAAGAACACAGAGAATGTGCAGGGGAACCACATTATACGTAATAGTGATTTTAAGAAAATGTTTTTCTTCTTTTCCAGATTGGTATTGAACCGTGCATGGATAAACAACAACAATCCCAGTTTGTCTACGCCTACTACCTAGGCACCAGTTACACCGGAAATATTTGTTTCTATGAATTTTCCATGAAGGCATTAATTTCTAGTGGCGGAGTTCTAAAACTGTTCATTTTTATTTATTTTTTTTTTCTAAAACACCACATGCAAGAGATATTGTTATTCTAGCAGAAATGAATCTCATTTGGCCATGCAATCATCTAGCTTCCTCGTTCTAGTCAAGATTGACGAGCCAACAAGAGAACATACTGTCTTACTCCTTTGGCCCCAAGAGATATGTCAAACTTCCTATGTTGTGTTCTGGCCTTTGAAGAACAAATAATTTGCAGGTGCAGTTTCTTGTCCCAGAAAAGCTCACCCACCTCCATGGATATTTTTAATTTGTAGAAGCAGTAGAATATTGATCTCATCCATTAGACAAACTAACTTCCATAATTCGTGAGGAAGAAGGAAATTACACTAACAACCCTAAGATCAGTATGAAACCAACTACAGAGAATCTCAAATTAATAGAACCATAAAGAGATTAAAATTACCATCAAATTTACCAGTATAGAGGCATAAATACAAGCCGCTGAAACGAAATTTCAGAACTTCACAACATCGGGTAATTAAACAGATACAGAAAATTAAGGCATCAGAAGAAAGGGAGATAAGAAAACCTGGAAGCGGATAATAAATTCCTCCTCCTTATCGACGTAGAAATCGTTGAATTTTTCGAGCTCCTTGTTTAGAATCCCAACGAACCAGTCGCGAAGCTCCGGCAGGGTGCCTCCTGGCGGAGGATTGTCGGGCGAATATTCTTGAGAAGCTAGGCTTGTACGACAAATACTTGTCCCTCCATTCCGGTAGGGTTTCCTCCAAATGTGTCCTGAATTCCTTCCCATTCCGGTGGTGGTCGAACATGGCCAGATCTCGACTGAAGTCAACCAAGAGAGACCGGAAAACAGAGAGGAATAGAGCATCGGTGCGCCAGTGAAATAAAAGACTGCTTTCTCTTGTATCAGAACTTCTCTTGTTTTGATTTTCCGTGCCACTTTAGTTTGAGTTGAGTCACCGAGCTGTGGTTTGCCGCTTATCATTTTGATTAGCGAGTGAGAAATCGAATTGTGGTTACTCACTATGATTTTGCGTGTCGCGAGACGATCGATATAAAATTAGTTTTGATCTATAAAATTTATTTACCGATAAAATTGTGTATTATACATAATAAACTAACATACCGATTCACCACATTATACCAACAATGGAGAAATTAGTCGCATGTTAAATGATAGAAGTGAAATTTTATAGGTCCACGTTGGATCTACAGAGCTAGTCAAGAAAATTTTGACCTGATCACTTGTAAAATAAAAATAGTATAAACATAAAACAATATAATTATTGTGATTATTTATAAAACTCAAAAAATTGACAAGATATCTTTATTGACGAAATATAGTGGCAATAAAAATTTTTGTTTTTTTATCTTGAACACTTTCAGTTATTGTGACATAAAAATACATGTCACAGTATTTATTTGAAATTTTGCCATGATATAAGTTATTGTCACTTTTGGAAGCAACAATTGTGATAATTTTTTTTTTTTTCCGCCAACACAAACAAAATTCGCCAAATTTTTAGTGACACTGTGTAGTGACATTAATCAAAAGTGTCACTAATAGTCTAATATTAATCACTCTCAAAGCATAGTGACGACAGATAAAATTGTCACTACAGACATATTTTCAGTGACGATATTTGTACTATCACTAATTTTTTCATCACTACATGTGTTATTTCTTGTAATGTAATGTGGCGAGGTCAAACTCGCGCCGGTTTTAAACCATGCTATACTAGAAAACGATGCGTGGATATCTCTTTCCTATTAATGAAGAAGTGTGTGTAAGACAATCTCCCTATATATAAAATGAGGTTTTCATGTTCTTAATTATTATTAAGTGCAACTATATATAATTCAATCGCCCTCCAAACGTGTTGCACGTTATCGAACTCCAATCAATATGTGGTTTGTGACATTGTCAGTTTTATTCCGATCTAGAGTCAATTTCCACATCACTCGTATTTGAATTTTTATTTGTGTGATGATTCCATGAAGCAATTGGGCTACTGTTAGAGCGTCTCCAATGTGGCTTTTGACATTCTAAAATATCATCCATATCCTCAATTTTTTAAAGTGTGTTACTAATTTATTCTCCAATGCATCTTGTTGACTCTTTCATGATGAGATGGATAACATTGAATGTTGACAATGTTGAGTCCACATTCTAATATCTTACACCATGTTTGAGATGATGACTCGATCATCAGTTCACGCTTCTTCTTCGTTTCCTCTCCTTTCAGTTGAGATTTTTTTGTCTATGACTGAACTTCGCTTCGTTCATTGGGTCAACTCACTCCGCCCGAAGCACTTGAACCGGGCGAGAAAACTACAAGCGCTCTCGGTTTGGCCCTGAACCTACGTGCCTATGACTTCGTTTCTCAGGAAATTCGCGCAGCGAAAGATCCGTAATTTGAGGGCAGAAACCGATGACAGAGCCCGAAAATATAAAGATGGGTATTTGGTTTAACTTTTTATTGTTCTTGTAACAGTAAATTAATTTAATTGGTCCACCTATACAAATAACTTCTTATCAAATTGATGCATTAAAGAAACTAGTTTGATGCAATTTTTTAGTCTTTTCATATTATTCCTATGTGGATTAACATTACAATCATTAATTGACATGTGTTAAAAAACATTGTCTTTTAAAGTCATAACATTGAAAATGCTCTTAGACATCATGAATAACTTGAGGGGCAATTGGTAAGAAGATAAAATCGGTTAAAATCAATTTTTAGATTGCACTCTCATATTGAAATTTCATACTTATAAAAATAAAAAAATAAAAAAAAAAAAGTAAAAGTACTTCATTTCACAATACAAATACTATTAAAAGTGAGGATTTTAATTAGTACACAACCCAAAGCAAGCAAAACAAAGAAAACGTATCTTCAAGATCATATAGTTATATATTAGGCCAAACATTAATGGATGAACCTAAGGAACATACTTCTTAGGCACAAGGACGAGTGCATTTCTTTTATGCGTGGTGATTCCCGGCAAAACATCAGTATCAATATCCCGCGGCTTAACACCAGGCGGCAGGTCCCAGTCGAACGAGTAGAGCAGATTCGCGAGTGCCAGCTCTACATTTGCGAGGCCCATATGCAACCCGGGACAAATTCTCCTGCCCGATCCAAACGGGATCACCCCAAAATCCTGCCCCTTTACATCCACATTCGAGTTCAAAAATCTCTCGGGCTGGAACTCGTGCGGATTTTCCCAGTACTGAGGATCCCTTGCAACGGCCCATGCATTCACGTAAACCAAGGTCTTTGGTTGGATTTCGTATCCTCCTAGGAAGCATTTTTGCGTCGTTTGTCTCGGAACAAGCATGGGGGCTGGAGGGTATAATCGTAAAGTCTCGTTTATGACGGCTTTTAGATAGGGAAGTTTGGGTACGTCGTCTTCGTCTACGTAACCCTTTGCGTCTATTGTGTTCCTGATCTCGGCTTGTACTTTGTGCATGATGTGTGGGGCTTTTATTAGGACCGTCATGGTCCACACGATCGAGGCTGTGCTCGTATCTGATGCGGCAATAAATATATCCTGCAACGAGCAAACCCGAAATTGAAGTGTTTTATCATCATCACAAAACTAATAAATTTGATTTATATAACAAATTTGGTGTTTGGCCATTTTGGGCCTTTTTAGATTGACGTTTTAGCCTTGTTTCGTTGGCTTGACAAAATTTGGATACTGGATTTATAGACTGTGACGTTGTAGTTTATTTTGGGCCTTTTTATATACAAGTTGGGTTCGGATTCGTGTAAAAAAAAAATAAATTTTAAAAATAAGAAATTGGTGTTGGGCCAGCTATCCCGTTGAAAAATCTTCAAAGGTACATGTACAGGTAAAGTACCATGCTCTATGAGGGCGGTACACATGGTCTTTATCCATCAAATTACGCACGTCCAACAGTTATCTGCCCATATGTGTAAAGGGATATTCACCGTTGACTCTATTTTATTCAAAATTGCCAGCTTAATTCTAAAAGTCAACTAGATTATAATAAAAATTAATATATTAAAAAAAACATGAAAACAAAATAATGAAATTAGTATTTTAAAAAAACTGAAAAATGAGCCCGCCTACGCGCCGCCTAACCGCCTGGCCGACAAGCCCGGCGAGTCCGCTTTGGAGCGCTTAGGGCCGC